TAGATAGATAGATAGATAGATAGAGAGAGAGAGAGAGAGAGAGAGAGAGAGAGAGAGAGAGAGAGACCACGCTCCCCCCATGATAAGTGAAAAACCATGAAGTAGGGATACAGTAGTTCAAGTAAACATTGTCATTACTATCTCATGTACCACATGAGATGGAATGAAATTGTGTACACAAGTAGTGGTAGTAGTAGTAGTCAGTAGTAGTTCATTTTAGTATTTAAATACAGGCATATATTAAGGAGTTTTAAACCCTTCCCACACTCTTGCAACGTCGCTAGCAATGTTTCTAAACTCTAGATGCTCTAAAAGAGCACAGCATGTCATGATTCTCAGCTCTCTGGCTCCAGCTGCTCCCTGCCAGCGCTCTTGGCCACTCCCACTTATCCACTGCAGAGCAGAGATATGACTTGCTGCAGGAGGAAGTTTCACCTGCAACTGTGAGCTGCACACAGGTGCAGTAGGTGCTAAATAATTTAAAATAATTTATTTTGAATAAAAAATCCATGCAGATTGTGTGGCTCATATTTCAATCAGCCAATTGTGTGTCATGTCCAATCTTGTTTTGAAAAACTGCGATAGAGCAAGTCCACGTAAAACGAACCACAAAGTAGCAAGAGACTACTGTATGCACACACACACACACTCACACACACATATGCATATACATATACACGACTGCATTAAGCAGAGGGTTATACACACAGTTAACATAGAGCATCATCATGTTTTCTTTTGCGTGACTTTTTTTTTGTTGTGTATTCAGAGTTTGGAAAACATGCAGTTCACCCAACATATTCAGTGAAACTGGTTATTTTTTAGTGTCCCACTCATTTTAAAGGACATAAAATTATTTTTTCCACCATGAAAAGCAATCGTTACAGCATTAAGGTGGTCTGAACTCTGATGGTCATGTTGATTTTAGCTTCAACATCAGTAATTGCCTCTGCTTTTCCAGCAATGAAGACAAACGAGCTCTCACGTGGAAAATCCTACCAAAGAAAGCCTGTAAAAACCTGATGAATGTGTTGAGACATCTCCACCAGCAGCTGGTTGATGGTGAGTACTGACCTGATTTATGAACTGATTCAAAGTGTCACATTTAGACCACTGTTTCAGAAAATATTTTCTTTAATTTTTATTTATCTGTGGATGAATAACTCCTGCGTATTTATAGGTTTTTAGCATTATGTATTTATTGCTAACAGAGTACATGTCATGCTTCATTCAGTACCTATATTTTTTATATATTTTTTATTGTCACAACTTTTATTTCATTTAACAAACTGAAAGTGAAAAATAATCCCTTCGAGGCAGAATGTCTTAATCATCCACTGGCCCTGCTGTGGTGCTCACTGTCAGTTTTCTCTTCTAATCCAGACAGAGCCTCACTGTGATCCCATTATAAACAGCTGCTTATTCATCTGTAGTAATTGAATAAATGAATTTTCTGATTCAGTGAAGTGGAACATTCCCCAAGTTGCTGCCAGAAATGCTGATATCCATTTGAATTCCACAAGTTTTAATTGAAAGCTTTTGGTCCTTTTGACTTCTGGAAAAAAGCTTTAATTCAAAAAAATTGTTTTTGGGTAATCCCCATTTGACATTGTAATGCCTGCTACTGAAGCACCCCACTGCCATAAGACTTTTAAATAATGCATTCATTCCATTTTGGCTTTGTACGAATGTAACGGCAACCTCAGTTATGAGCAATGGTCCAGCCTCTACTCTGAAATTAAGCTGAAGTTATTAACATATGGTGCTTTTGTGTTCAGGTCAGTACCAGCCAGATGGGTTGCTGGAGCTGAGCATGAGTAATGCACCAGAGCTGAGCTGTGGGAAGAGCCTCCACACGCTGGAGCTGGAGATCCAGGAAGCCTTTCTGCGTTTTATGGCAGCTATTTTAAAGGGTTACCGCTCCTTTCTGCGTCCCATCACTCAAGCACCTTCAGAGAAAGCCACAGATGCCAGCTCACTCTTTGACCTGCAAGGTATCAAAAACTTGTGCTGCCCAACTCTTAGTGCAGAATGTAAACTATTATACAAACGCCGAAAATTAGAGTCACAATGGAATCAAACTGCATGCCTTTCCTCTGCCGTCTTTTTTCCCCAGCAGCCTCTTCAAAATCCTCACACAGGAAATATAATTAGTCCACTTCAGTGGAGAGTGGAGAGTTTTTCACTGGTTGCGGGCCAAAGTTTTCAGCCTTGAGGAAAGCCTGAAAACAAGTACAAAAACAGTATTCAAATTTGAAATGGAAACATTTTTAAAAATTGCTACACGTTTTAAAAAGCTGAGTCCAGGGCATGCATACTGTCACTTTTCTAACAGTACTATAGTCCTGTTCAGACCCGGCTCTGTATAGTTATTTTTGGTGATTCGACTGCAAGTAGACTGCTTTGATTGAGTGTTCACACCTGGCACAATGATTCAGTGATGCCTTTAGTGTTGGAGCAAAGACTGAAGAGTTATACTTGTAATAATCCAGTGCACTCTCATTAGCTGTTTTATACATGTATTTATTTATTTCCATCTTTTACCACTTATCTGCAGTCATGTTGCAGAGGCAACAGGTCCAGAGGGAAACACAGACATCTCTCTTTCCAGTGATGCATTCCAGCTCCTCCTGGGGAACCCCAGTTGTTCCCAGGTCAAAGGAGATACGTAATCCCTCCAGTGAGTTCTGGGTTCTGCTTTGTATCCTGGATCTCATTCTTTCAATCATGATCCAGACGTGATGATCATAGGTGAGGGATGGACCATAGGCAGATCAGTAAATCGAGAGCTTTGTTTTTCATTTAACTCTTTTTTTTTTCCCCCATGAAAGACCAAAGTAACATCCTCATTACTATTGATAAGAGCCCCAATCTGTCGATTCATCTTCTGCTCTATCCTACCATCACTTGTGAACAAGATGTGCAGATACTTAAACTCCTCCACTGAGCCAAAGACTGTCCCCCGACCCAGTGGGACCACTACACCCATTTTTGGTTGAGAACATGGCCTCGGAGGAACTAACTCTCAATGCAGCTGCTTCACTTTTGGCTACGAACTGCCCCAGTGCACACTGAAGATCTTGGCCCAAAGATAGAAACAGAACCATACCATCCCATAAAGCAGAAACAAGACCCAAAAGTTCCCAAAGCAGACACTGTTCTCTCCATAATTGCATTTGTGGGGCAGCTGTGGCTGAGTGGTTAGAGCAGTCTTCCTCAAATGCAAGAGTTGGGGGTTTGATTCCACCAGCAGTCACATGCCCAAGTGTCCCTGGGCATGACACTGAACCCCTCATTGCCTCTGACGTGTGTCCCATCAGTGTATGAAGGTGATCTAAAGCATAGTATAGATCTAGTAGAGTGCTGTATGAATGGGTAAATGAGGGCACAGGTTGTGTTGTAAAGAGCTTTGAGTATCTTGATAAGATAGAAAGGTGCTATATAAATGCAGTCCATTTACCATTTTAAGATCCTGTCCATGAACACCACAAACAGGATTGTAGATGAGGGACAGCCCTGGTGGAGTCCAACCTGGACCAAGAACAAACTCAACTTTGTGCCAAGAATGCAGACACAGCGGTCACAGAGGTGACATTCCATGTCCCTCACCTGCCGCCTGGCTTGCATCACTCCCGACATTGACAGTTCTCCTCGCAGGTGGTTGGTTCGTATGGACGTGGGATCTCGTCTCTCTTTCGAGCTTGGCCCATCCAAGCACTCAGTAGCCAAGACTTGACCATCAGGCGCTCATCGGCAAGCTCTCCCTGCACCCCCACCCCCACCCCACACACAGGCCCGGCTCCAGGATGTTGTCCCAGTTTCCCTTCTCCTGGCAAGGTTTTCTAATGTTGTTTTTTATTCATCAAGGCTTTTGACCATGCGTTTACAATAGCCGAATATAATGCTGCTCTGACTGTTGTTCTGTGTTTGGCACAGAGTATTTTAGCTCACTGTAATCACAGAGGGTCCAGTCAGATCTAAATAAACTGACACTCATCATACTATAACCTGAAATCTGTATTTTAGGAATCTACGCTGAATCATTTTTCACAATAAGGGCATTTTTATTGAGAATAAATCAGATAAATAGTTCATCTAAACCTTTAGACAAAAACAAAAAAGCTGTCTAGAGTATTGCCCAGGACGTCTGTAATTATTTTAAATCAGCTGGCAGCTGAGCAGACTTTTAATTATTTATTTTTAGATTTTTCTTTATTTCTCATCTCAACATGTCCTGCTAACAACTTTGTTGCTTGTGTGGGTTCTTGTCAGTTTAGTAGGAGGTTACCTACATCAAGGATCAAGACGACTTGTGTTCAGACTACCAAATGTATGGAAATATGAGGTCAGGACCACCTCTAAGAATGGTTTGAGGGAAAATGTTCTCAATGTCATTGATGTTGTTCACACATATATTTTGCATTATTCAATTGCAATCCAATCATTCAGGATGGATTTTAGGGTTAGGGTTAAATGGGATCTAACAACTTGAACAGTTCAGGCCCTCTTTTGTAATATTTTAACATGTTTTCATTGTGACAAGTCTGTGCTGCAGACAGATACCTAACTATTTTATTTTTCAGGTGTACGGTTAAGACATGAAGAATGTCTTAATGATGTTGCATCATATTGCTAAAATGATCACAATCTCAGTGAAAACATATCATCTGGATATCCTGATGCATGCTCAATAATCCAGGTAGAAAAATCCAAAAAAGTTCAATCTGGTCCTCTGGACATTCAAAAAAAACAAAACAAAGCAAAAAAAATATAGAAACGTTTCGGCTCTCATCCGAGAGACTTCCTCAGTCTGAGGTGCTGTTTGAAAGCAGAGAAGAAACCCAAACAGGACCACAGTCAGCCAACAGGTGAAAAGGAGGAACTTAGACCCAGACCAGTGGTCATTCCGTATGTTGAGGGAGTATCAGAGAAACTGAGACGTTTATTTTCTAAACATAACGTCCCAGTGGCTTTTAAACCCCAAAATACATTACGGCAAAGACTGGTTCATCCCAAAGATCCAGTCCCCCGGCACAAACAGAGTAATGTTGTGTATGCTGTTCAGTGTCAGGAGGGCTGTGATCACTCTTACATCGGGGAAACTAAACAGCCACTGGCCAAAAGGATGGACCAGCACAGAAGATCAACATCATCAGGCCAGGACTCTGCGGTCTACACTCATCTCCAGGCCAGCGGTCACTCTTTCAGGGATGAAGATGTTCACATCCTGGATAGAGAGGAACGATGGTTTGAGAGAGGAGTAAAGGAGGCCATCTTTGTGAAAAGAAATCGTCCATCATTAAACAGGGGTGGAGGCCTCCGGGTTCAACTGTCCCCCTCTTACAATGCTGTGATTGCTAGTATCACTCAGCCCTCTGTGAACAGTAAACAGCCATCAGTGTGCTAATGACCCATCGTTAGGCTGATGGTCCTTATTGAGCATGTGATCAGCTGGTTTTGGTTGTCAGCAGCAAACTGGTTGATCCACTCTGAGAAGGTGCTATTTAAGAGACTGAGCTGAATACAGCACCTCAGACTGAGGAAGTCTCTTGGATGAGAGACGAAACGTTTCTATATATTTTTTGCTTTTTTTTTTAATGTGCAGAGGACCAGATTTAACTTTTTTGGATATCATCTGGATGCCTGCATGTTTTTTGGGGGGAGGGGTTGTGGGGTCTGGGGGTCCTTCCTCAGAAAATTTTGAATAGAGTAGATGCAATTTCCTGCATTTTGGTGTAATTTAATGGGTGGTTAAACATCTACTTTTACCTACATTTGTAACCACTCGCATCCACCCCATCCACTTACATGACAGTTCCGAGCCGACTGTTCTCCGCTGAATTCACTGTCTGACTCTACATGTGAAACCTCCAGGCACTCACCCCACCAATCTTTTAAAGGGATTTTTTAAGGGTAGAAGCAGAAATGCTTTACTTGAAGCGGCAGATGTTTGTATGTGACATTAAGAAGTCGGAAGTGGCTGTTGTGTTTAAAATCAGTGTTTATGTAATTATTTTCAGTTTACATAAACAGTATACGTTTTATTGGTTCAAGGTAGTCATATTTGTTCATAACTTTATTATTAATAAGCCTGAGAGTTGCTGGATCTCAGCAAAGAGTTGCCAGAACACACCCTGTCCAAATAAGAGAGTTCCCAGATCCTGTTCAGGCAGGATCCGTCTCAAATTAAGCCCTGATTCTAAGAATATCTCCAATCTCAGCAGAAGAAGATTGCCATGATTTTTAAATAAATTATTTCCTGTTTGCAGGGTTCTTGAAGAGCCGGGATCGCTCACACCAGAAGTTTTACTCTTTAATGACCAAGACCCAGATGTTCATCCGCTTCATTGAGGAGTGCTCGTTTGTCAGTGACAAAGACACCAGCCTGGCCTTTTTCGATGACTGTGTGGATAAAGTGAGCAATTTATCAATGCTGTACCACAATTTTTTGTTTACAAATTTCTAGTTTATGTAAATTAGAGTTAAGCTTTGTTTTTGTTTTTAAAGAGCAAAAGCCTTCTCCTATTTTTTATCCCAGGTTTTCTCTTTTAGTTTTCCTAAATGTCACTCATTTAGCCAAACTTGTGTCTTTTAATTCTGCTTCTAATATTTGTCCCTTTTTTTTCTTGACTCTTTTTACAAACAGCTCTATAGTTCAGAACGAAGTGCAGAAAAAGGAGCCAAAGTAAGTCTGTTCTCATTATCACCTTCTTTGAATACATTTTGCTTCCAGATGTGCGAATGAACAAATCAGTTTGACCATCTGACATTTGTCCTCAAAATGATGGTTTTCAGACAACTTTTAAAACTTTGCAAATCTGGTTTAGGTTGTAGCTTTGTGTTCACACCTCTTCTTGATCTGTATTTTGAATTTACTCCTCTTTTTAAAGCTGACTCAGCTTGCTTGCTCTTCTGAATTTTTCATGCTCGTTGAGATGTTCACTGCATTCGTTAGATTTGCTGCCACAGCAGTTTATCCTGATATAATAAAAAGCACAATTTCACATAAAACCTACCGTTTTCTGCAGAGAGCCTTGCTTTCTGCTTTTCATGAGTTTGGTGACTAAGGGTTTTTCGAGCTTCAGTGATTTCTGATCTTAAAGGTTTATGTGACAATGCTGTAGTGGATCTTTACTCTGCTGGCTGTAGTTTGACCTGTGTTTAGGCACTAAAGGTTAGATTTGATGTAAAGTTCACAAAAGTTCTGTTCTCCTCTAGTCATGACTGTGGGTCACTGGTTTTGCTGGTGATATTTCTAACTCTGAAATTGACTCAGCTCTCTGTGTGCGCATGCTCTCATCTTCAGACTGTAATTGAGATAGAAATGAATTTGAAATGTCCTTCGGGGGGACTTAAGTCTCGTCCTCATGTTCTCTCTAAATGACCTCCACAGGCGATTAAACTTTCAGATTGTTTTTGGTGAGCTTTGACTGATTTACATTATTACAGTCTACAAGCGTAGGAATATAAGATTAAAATGCATCAATCACTGAGGGAAGACATTTTGTTGAAGCAGCAGAACTTACTGAATGTTGAAGGATCACCACATGGAGAAAATTGAATCTTACTCATTGAATTGACTTTTAAAACGCTGAAAAAAATAGTAGCACTAGTTGGCAAAAGTACAACTACTGTAATTTCCAGACTATTGAGCGCATCTGCTTATAAGCCATGCTGACTACATAAAAAAAAAGAAGAAATATTTGTACATATCGTGCACAAATGGTGTACCACATCATCCGCAACTAGCAGAGAAAGAATCCTAAGGCCACCGAACCAGACTCCCTCTGCCCCCTGGCTCCACCGAGAAACTGTCCATAAAAGCTATGAACAGAATTGGTGACTACAGGTAGTCCTGGCAGAGTCCAACTCCCATCCTGAAAGAATCCAACTTACTGCCAGCAATGCAAACCAAACTCTCTCACTGCTTGTATAGGAACCAAACAGCTGAACGACCCCACTCCCATACTCGCAGATCACCCCCCACAGTGTACCCTGAGTAACACAGTCAAATGCCTTCTCTCCAGGTCCACAAAACAAGAGGACTGGATTGACAAACTCCCATGACCCCTCAAGAACACTATTGAGGGTAAAGAGCTTGTCCAATGTTCCCTGGCCAAGACGGAACTGGCATTTTTCCTCCTGGATCTGGGGTTTGACCAACAATTGGACTCACTACTCTAGTACCCCTGAATAGACCTTACCAGGGAGACTAAGGAGAGTGATGCCCTCGTAATTGGAGCACACCCTCTGGCCCCCATTTTTTGAGGAGGGGAACCTCCACCCCAATTTTCCAATCCAGTGGCGCTGCCCCAGATGTCCACGCAGCGCTGCAAAAGAGGGTCAATCAACCAAGACAGCCCCTCAACATCCAGAGCCTTAAGGAAATCAGGGTGGATCTCATCCACCCCCGTAGCCCTGCCACTGCAGAGCTTTTTAGCTACCTCGGAAACCTCAGTCACGGTTATGGTCAGACCAACCCTGAAGTCCCCCAACTCAGCTTTCTCCATGGAAGATGTGCTGGTGAGATTGAGAAGGTCCAAGAAGTATTTCTTCCACCTTCTGATGACATCAATGGTTGAGGCATAGGCATCACAACCATTATATGTGAAGGGGATGTGTCCCCCCCACATTCAAAAAAACGTTCATTTGGACCCCCCCATCCCACACACACACACACACACTTTTACTATGAAACATTAGTTTTGTCGGCGCAGTTTCTTTCTTCGTGAACAAATCCATTCCACTTGATTAATAGGAGAATACTCAAACCATTAAAACTCCACTCCAGGTTTTCCTGGTTACCTCCAACTCTCCAGCTTCCAGCAGCATGCAGTGTTTCTGTGCGTCTCCTTCTGCCTCGGCAGAAAACGCGCACAGGTGGAGGAGATGGAGACATCTCTGTGTTGATCGCTCACCAGTTTAGCAGCTTAGTGCGGGCAGTTGTTGACCAGGGGGATTGATCATAAACATATATACATGGTTAGGAGGATGCTTGACAGGAGCGCTACGTCTGTAGCGTCTTAGCTTTACAGTAACTGTGATGCTGTAAGACGCTGCAGGTGTAAGAGACTCTGTGTGTTAAGGTCCAGGAAAGTTGAAATGTCTTTAAAACCTTGCACCTTATTGGTGATGTTTTTATTTCTGTATAAACACAAATAGTGCTGACCTGACGCTCTGTATTAAAGTGTATTAAAGTTAAAATGTCTTTAAAACCCACAGCCAAATTTACACAAACTTGGTGAGAAAAATGCTTTAAATGAAATTAAAGTAAGGAAGTCTAGGTGAAATGTTGCTTTTTTGTACACTAGTGTACTATTTTTACACGCATGCACATACACCATTGTGTCCCCCCCACCCCCCACACACACATTACAGTTACTTATGACACCCTTGGGTTGAAGTCAACAGTACCCAACCTTCCCTGAACAAAGTGTTAGTAAAGTGCTACAGTAAAGTGCTACTTTCCTCTCCTCCGCTGGCTTATGATTTGCCAGAATCTCCTCAGAGCTGACTGAGAGTCTATCCAAGGCCTCACCGAGCTCCTCCCACATTCAAGCTTTTGCCTCAGCAACATCAAAGGCTGCAGCCCACTTGTTCCTCTGGTACTCATCAACTGCTTCTAGAGTCCCACCTGCCAACAAGGCCCGATAGGACTCCTTCAGCTTGACAGCCTCCCTAACCTGGGGTGTCCACCACTGAGTTTGACGATGGCCACTGCGAGAAGCACTATCCTTGTAGCCATAGCTCAAGGCAGTCACCTCAACATTTGAGGCATAGAACATGGCTCACTTGGACTCAATGTCTCCTGCTTCAGCTAGGATGCAGTTAAAGCTCTTCCGGAGATGTGAATTGAAGATCTTTCTGATGGGTTTTCTTCCAGGCATTCCCAGCTCACTACACTACATTACACCTCATTACACATTTTGATCTGCCGGCTATGTCCGGCATCACTTACGGACACCATAATGTTCGAACATTTTGTTTGTGATGGATAAACCATGACTAGTACAGAAGTACAACAACAGTACATTGCTGGGGTTCAGTTCAGAGAAGCCGTTTTTCCCAATCACACCCCTTCAGGTCACACTGGCATTACCCACGTGGGCATTGAAGTCCCCCAGCAGAATAAAGGAGTCCACAACTGGCGCACCTTCCAGCGCCCCCGCTAAGGACTTCAAGTGGGTTGGATCCTCTGAACTTCTGTTTGGCATGTAGGCACAAATGAATGTCAGAGCCCATCCTCCCACCCAAAGGCGCAGGGAAGTGACAATCTCATTTACCATGGAAACAGCTGTTTGAAAAAAAGAGCCTTCAAAGAGGGAGACAGAGAATTATTGAAGAGTATACAGAAGCAACTAAAAGTCAAGATAAAAAACAGCAAAGAGGTGTACAAGAAGAGGCTGGAGAGCAAGCTCCAGCAGAACAATATCAGAGAGGTGTGGTCAGAGATGAAAAAGATCAGGCTTCAAGCAGAAGGAGGATCAGAAGGATGGAAGCCTGGACAGAGCCGAGATTCTCTGGAGGATCCAGTCCAGATGAACTGTAAGCTTCAGAAATAGCCTCACACAACCAGTGTGAGAGAAGCTGGATGGATAGCGGACGTCCTAAAGAGCTGTCCCTGTAATGCACGAACAGACGCTGAAAACGGCGCAGTGCGGCCGTGTGCGCCACGTAACACGAAAATGCGCGCATGGGACAGAGGAGTTGAGATGTTGCTTCCTCTTCCGAATTATGAGGAAGAGGATAAAACCCATCCAAGGTTATCACTCTCGATCTGAATGAACTTGTGATGCTTTTCAGAGCAGGGTTACAACGCAGTACAGCTGAGCTGCCATCAGCTTGAATTCTGAGACATGAGGGAGCAACAGAGAGAGCAGACAATCACTCACTCTCTTTAACAATGTCAGAACTAACAGCAGGGCTGTTTTAAATGACAGAAATTTAAGTGAAACCTGATCTAAAGGCTCAGAAGGAGCTTTGATCAGAGCGTGCAGGACCATCATTAGGTCTCACTGTGAAGCTAGTGGACATGACACCGGTCTGTGTCTCTGTACCCCTTTCAGAAAACACTTCATCAGCGGGTTCTATCACCGAAAAACCTCATGACAGAAAGAAATAGCTGCAGCATAAGTTTTAATTGTGCTGAACGCTAAATTCCTGTTCATCAGTTGCTGTAGAAATGACAGCACACCACCTAGTGGACATGAGATGGCCTCCAAACCTTTCTCTGTGCACCAGCGCTGAAAAACTGTCCACTTGATGTGTACAGCGTTGTGGTGGCAGCAGCTCGTGCGCCCTGAATGTACGCACCACATCCTGTGGGAGGCCCATCTTTTCTAAACGGATCCGTTCAGCGGCCAGACCCAAAAGTGCTGACCTATTTCTGGGTAACTCCTGAACGCTCTTCCTGCCTGGAGGAGAGTGCCCCCCCACGGCAGTTTCCACGTCCGACCCGATATCAGTCGCTACAGATTTGGGAACCATGGAGCGCGTATGCATTGAGGAGCTACGAGGATGACTGACGGAGAGCTGCTATCTAGGACACCCGGGGGAGCAAATGGTGGCCCTTGCTCAAGGGCTCAGAGTGGGGCAAATGAGGGTGGAGACAGGTGTGGGTGCTTCACCAATCCCACCTACATTTTGTTGTTGTTGGTACCGGGAGTTGAACCTGCGACTTTCCGATCACAGGCCCATCTTCTCTAACCTCTGTGCCACCATTCCCCATATATATTGCACATAACTAACATAAACTACACAGATTATTGCACAGGTAGTGACATTAAGACGTAATTATGATGGTAAGGTAGATACATAGATACTGTATCATACATGATACAGCCACATAGTGCAGCAGCAATAAACGTATTAGCTGGCACAAGCTAATATTAGTCATATTAGTTATCACAGATGTGGCTTGGTGCAAAGCTATTGTCAATTGTTCAGTGTTATTTATTGAGAATTTAGTAATCTGACAGCTTGTGGATAATAGCTGTCCTTTAGTCTTTTCTTGCGCGATGACAGACTCCTGTATTGTCTGCCTGAGGGTATTAGACAGAAGAGTCCTTGTGCTGGGTGGGTGTGGTCCTTAATGATGCTGAGTGCTTTACACAGACATCGGCAGTGGTAGATTTATTTTTATTATTATTTTCATTTACCCTTTATTTATACAGGTAGTCTCATTGAGCTACGTGAACTCTTTTTCAAGAGAGACCTGGTTAGGAAGCAGATGGTGGGGGTTAAGGGCCTTGCTCAGGGGCCCAGAGTGAGGCAAATGAGGGTGGAGGCAGGTGTGGGTGTTTCACCTTTTCCACCCACATTTTGATGTTGACGGTACCGGGAGTTGAACTTGTGACTTTCCGATCACAGGCCCATCTTCTCTAACCTCTGCGCCACCACTCCCCATAGATGTCCTGGATGGTGTGGAGACTGCTACCAGTGATGTCCTCTGCTGTTTGCAATACCCTCTGTAGTGCTTTCCGGCTCTGACTGGTGCAGTTCTCATACCACCCTGCGATGCAGCCTGTCAGCAGGCTCTCAATCTCCTATAAAAGTTTCTGAGGATGCTGGTGTTTGTACCAAACTTATTTAGTCTTCTTAGGAAGTAGAGTCTTTAGAAAGTATAGTTTCCTCAAATGATTGGGGTGGCTGTTTAACGTGTACGTCAATGGCCAACTTGAATTTTGACCTGGCAACCCAATTTTCGCCAGAAACCTTTCTTACACATGGACGTCGCCACATACCAAAATGGAAGTTGGTACCTGACTTGTTTTTCAAGTTATCGTGCTTACATCATGCACTGCAACAGGGGACAAAATTAGGCAAATATGGAGCTGAAGATCAGTTTCTCTGTAGAAATCTACCATCAGCACACTTCTAGTGGGTTTTGATTGGAAGCTTTCTTAACACTGTAGAAAATGCTTTGAGTTTACCTTTTTTAGGAATAGTCCATTTAGTCAGCCCGCAAAGCTGACTACACAGTTTGTGTGTTTGACTGTGGCTAATGCTCACATGGATTTATTTAACATTTTGTCAGCAGTGCTTTTACTTTTAGTTTTTTAGAAGTTTAACTTACATCAAACTACTTTGTTGTTCTGCCTTGTCTGATGTGTTTTTTCCAAGCATTTGATTGATCCAGGTGCACATGCTGTTGATGCGCTCAGTTTGTGCAGATACATGTTTTGGCTGCAAACACAGAGGAACATAAAATGTTGGTCACAATGTTTAGGTCCTATGAGCCGAATGGAAGCCAAAATGTTCTTTTATCTGATATTCACTGGATCATGAAGATCATCTTGTTTCTGTTAGTTTTTAATTTAAAAGGAAGGTCCTTATAAGAAATCATATCCATGTAATTCAAGATTTTGACCTTTCTTCCATCCCAGATAGTAAATTTGTTTTTATGAAGGTCTGGCAACTTTTGTTATGTTTGTGTGTTTTAGTTGGATTGTTTCTAAAGTCGTTGATTGCACTTAGATGTTCCATATATTGTATGGATAAAGGGTGTAACTTTTACTTTTATCTCATTATTGTGTATGTGTGTGTGTGTGTGTGTGTGTGTGTGTGTGTGTGTGTGTGTGGGGGTGGGGGGGTGTCCAGTAAACAGCAAAGTTTTTAAGATAAATTTTTGGGATGGTCCCTTAAGATACAGTTAAATTTCTGTTCTGATATGAAATGATAATTCAACTTTTGTTACCATGTTCGCCATTTAAACAAGTTGCAGAAACTAAACTAACAGAATCACCAAACGTCTTTCTCGACCACCCCCTGCAATAAATTTTTTGTCTCTTTAAAGCGCTTCATTCAATTCCTGGTTATGTGCTCATGTGTCTTCCAACATAATAGCAATAGCAATAGCGGGGGAGTGGTGGTACAGAGGTTAGAGAAGATGGACCCGTGGTCAGAAAGTCGTAAGTTCAACTCCCGATACCGTCAACATCAAAATGTGGGTGGAAAAAGTGAAACACCCACACCTGCCTCCACCCTGATTCACCTCACTCTGGGCCCCTGAGCAAGGCCCTTAACCCCCACCATCTGCTCCCTAAACAGGTCTCTCTTGAAAATGAGTTCTCGTGGCTCAATGAGACTACCTGTATAAATAAAGGGTAAATAAATAAATAAATAAATAAAAATCTACCAGCAAACCTTTTCTTCTTGTTCTTGTTTTTTTTTTATTTTTTTTTTAATTTTTATAAAATATAAAACCAAACAAACTATTCTAACAAGCTGCTAACATCTGACATACATCTATATACAATAGCTAAAAGTCCATCCATCCATCCATCCATTCATTCATCATCTTTCACTTGTTCCAAAGTCAGGTCTCAGGGCATCACCATGAGCAGGGAGGTTCAGACATCTCTTTCCACAGCCACCTCTTCCAGCTCTTCTGGGGGGACCCCAAAGCGTTCCCAGACTAACTGAGAGACATAGTCTCTCCAGCATGTCCTGGGTCTTCCCTGGGGTCTCCTCCCAGTCGGACATGTCCAAAGTACCTCCTTAAGGAGGTGCCCAGGAAGCATCCTTACCAGATGCCTGAACCACCTCAACTGGCTCCTTTCAATGTGGAGGAGCAGCGGTTCTACTTTGAGTCATTCCAAGATAACTGAACTTCTCACCCTACCTCTAAGGGAGAGTCCAGCTACCCTGCGGAGGAAACATTTCAAACACCTGTATCCACGATCTTCCAACAAGGTTAAGTCAGGTCCTCTGGACAGTTTCTTTTTGTTGAAACGTTTCTGATGAAATCTTTTGGATGAAAGATGAAAGTGTTTCAACAAAAAGAAACCGTCCAGAGGACCTGACTTAACTTTGTTGGATTTTTTTACCTGAATTATTGAGCATGAAGTTTAATGTTTTGAACCACTGCCTCAGAAAAAGATGAAAAGTCACAGCTCAACAACCTCGAGCGTCCTGTTTGTTTTTTGTGCTTTTGTTTGCCATGGCTGCCTCAGGTGAGTCGATAGGGGAGAGGGCAGACTCCAGAAACCATCTTGGCACCATCAAACTGGTTGACCCACTATGAGAAGGTTCTTTTAAGACTGTGCTTGTGGTGGCTTCTCGGACTGATGAAGTCTTTTGGATAAAAGGTGAAACATTTCAATAAAAGAAACCGTCAAGAGGACCTGACTGAACTTTGTTGGATTTGAGCGTTATGGACCAAACCAGGTCCATATGAGGCTGATGAGGGAGGAACAACATTTTTGAGAGATGTACTGTAAATGCAAAATTTTGCCTATATAAATGGCGGATATTCTTTATTTTTATTATACTACTTAAAATTAGTTTTCTCTAACAATTTAATGGTGGGGACAATCTTTGTTTTTCCAAAACTGAAGGGGTTCCACCCAAGGAATGGTTGTGACTTGAATTCTGCAGAGGGAGCATTCTTGAGGGATGAAAAGGGAAGCAGGAAACAAGAACCTTATCTCTGGAAGTATTGGTCACTTGTCAAAATCACTTATCTCTCAGACTGATAGCTTCTACACTCTTTTAAATTATTCACTGAGAATTTTAAAAGGGTGTGAATCTTGTGTTGACAAAACTGAAGCATGCAAATCTTAAAACATTGACTTCTGTAATCATTTTTGAGAATGCTCTCACCCATTTACTGGGCTGAAAAAAATGAAAAGTCACAACTCTACAACCTCGAGCGTCCTGTTTATGTTTGTTCTGTGCCTTTGTCTGCAGGCGGATGCTGACAGGACAGAGGAGGCCAGGTTGATAGAGACTGATGAATCCCAGCGCAGTGAGCACACAGTCTTCATCACCCCTCCAGAGCTGCCTACATTACTTGATGGAGAGGAATATCCACTATGTTACAGGTAAAATCTATACAGTGCCTTGCGAAAGTATTCGGCCCCCCTGAACGTTTCAACCTTTTGCCACATTTCAGGCTTCAAACATAAAGATATAAAATTTTAATTTTTTGTGAAGAATCAACAACAAGTGGGACACAATCGTGAAGTGGAATGAAATTTATTGGATGTGTCAATTTTTATTAACAAATAAAAAATTGAAAAGTGGGGCGTGCAATATTATTCGGCCCCCTTGCATTAATACTTTAGCGTCGCCTTTTGCTGCAGTTCCAGCTGCAAGTCTCTTGGGGTTTGTCTCTATCAGTTTTGCACATGGAGACACTGAAATTCTTGCCCATTCTTTCTTGCAAAACAGCTCGAGCTCAGTGAGGTTGGATGGAGAGCGTTTGTGAACAGCAGTCTTCAGCTCTTTCCACAGATTCTCGATTGGATTCAGGTCTGGACTTTGACTTGGCCATTCCAACACCTGGATATGTTTATTTGTGAACCATTCCATTGTAGATGTGGCTTCATGTTTTGGATCATTGTCTTGTTGGAAGATAAATCTCCGTCCCAGTCTCAGGTCTCTTGCGGACTCAAACAGGTTTTCTTCCAGAATGGTCCTGTATTTGGCCCCATCCATCTTCTCATCAATTTTGACCATCTGCCCTGTCCCTGCTGACGAAAAGCAGGCCCAGACCATGATGCTGCCACCACCATGTTTGACAGTGGGGATGGTGTGTTCAGGGTGATGAGCTGTGTTGCTTTTACGCCAAACATATCGTTTTGCATTGTGGCAAAACAGTTGGATTTTGGTTTCATCTGACCAGAGCACCTTCTTCCACATGTTTGGTGTGTCTCCCAGGTGCTTGTGGCAAACTTTAAACAACACTTTTTATGGATATCTTTGAGAAATGGTTTTCTTCTTGCCACTCTTCTATAAAGGCCAGATTTATGCAGTGAACGACTGATTGTTGTCCTATGGACAGACTCTCCCACCTCAGCTGAAGATCTCTGCAGTTCATCCAGAGTGATCATGGGCCTCTTGGCTGCATCTCTGTTCAGTGTAGTATGTCGGGACAGCTTTCGCTGTGGACATCCTATTAATTAATTATTCTTAAGGCTAGTTCAAGCACAAAGAATATTAATTGTTTAGTTAACAACGGATTATTTCTTTTTCGAGTTACATTTCTGCCATGTAACCAAGATAACTTGAGAGTGGAGTGTATAATTAGTGACATGAGACGTCATTTATCTTTGACCCATCAGAATAAATGCAGTCATTTATTTAACAGAATCATTAAAATTAACATCAAAACATGTACACTTGATTTGCTGATCTGTTTCTGATTACTAAATTTAGCAAGTTCAAATAACAAGCCAACAGAGGATTACTGGTGGAGAATAATTAATCTCTGAAGGCATTTAGCTTGATTTACTGGCGAAGAGGTTTCAAGAGGATAGATTTAGAGGTTTAAAGAGGAGGATTTAGATGGATGAAGGAAGATGTGTTGACCAGAAATGGCACCCTTCATCCGACCCCAGCTCAGCCTCGGTAAACTCGGTGCGTGACGACTCGTTACCTTTGCAGAAGATAAATCAGCTCCAGTACAGAGGTCCATTTCAACGCTACCTTTCAGCGTCTCCGGTCAGGGTGGCTGAGAATCGTCCGAAGTAGTGACGGTACTCCGTTCAAGAGAATAAGCTTCCTTAGAAGGAATCTTCAGAAGTTGAGAGCATTTAATGCTCGGGGTGAGATCACAGCGAGGCGTGCTGTGACTCTGCTGAAATGGATGGACCCTTGGCTCATGGTCCAAAATCCATCAGCTATTATTGTATATTGTCCATCCCTTCTCAGTGTGTGGCTGTGTTTGACCACTTTGAGCCCATCTCTCTGTCCTCTCTGGAGCAGGCAATGTGCAGCATGAAACCATCTGGTTCCCCCTTTGATGTGGTCCCCCCTCGACTGCTAAAGGAAGTTTTTCCTACCCTGGGTCCTTTTATCCTCGCTATTCTGAATAGCAGTTTATCCTCAGGTGTGGTGCCAAAGACTTTTAAACATGCTGCTGTCCAGCCCCTTCTGAAAAAACCTAACCTTGACCCCTCAGTCATGTCCAACTTCCGGCCTGTCTCCAGACTACCATTCACCTCTAAACTACTGGAAAAAATTGTGGAGTCTCAGTTGAAACAGTTTTTGGGGGATCACGCTATCCTTGAGTTATTCCAATCTGGCTTCAAATCTCTCCATAGCACTGAAACTGCTCTACTGAAGGTTTTTAATGACATTTTCATATCCACAGACGCAGGTGATTCTGTGCTGCTTGTCCTATTGGACCTTGCATCTGCTTTTGACACCATCGACCACAATATCCTCATTTCTAGACTGGAGCAGTGGGTGGGCATCACAGGGTCAGCCCTTAAATGGTTTGGGTCCTACCTCTCTGACAGAACCTTCTGTGTCAATATCAAAGATTTTAGTTCGGCATCGACCGCACTCCAGTGGGGGGTACCGCAGGGGTCCATCCTCGGTCCCCTTCTCTTTTCTTTATACCTGCTGCCACTAGGTGCTATCTTCCGCAAACACGACATACCCTTTCATTTCTATGCCGATGATTGCCAAATTTACTTCCCCCTGAGGCACAGAGGCACACGCTCTATTCAGCCTCTTCTTGACTGCCTGGCTGACATCCGGGACTGGATGGCTTTAAACTTCTTAAGCTTCAATGAGAAGAAGTCTGAAGTCATGCTGTTCCATCCCAGTGGCTCACTCATGAACCATGACATTGACCTTTTCTCTCTAGCCCCGCTAGAGAAACAAAAGGTGACTAATCTGGGGGTGATAATGGACCCGTCCTTAAAACTCAACAGTCACGTAAACATGATGGTCAAATCCTGTTTTTTTCAGCTGAGACGGCTGTCTAAGCTGAAGCCTATACTCTCCAAAAAGAACCTCGAGACAGTGATCCACGCCTTCATAACATCTAGGCTTGATTACTGCAATTCACTTCTGTTTGGAATCAGTCAGTCCTCCATTGCTCGTCTACAACTGGTCCAAAATGCTGCAGCCCGATTTTTAACTGGTACAGGCTATAGAGAGCACATCACGCCAGTTTTGGCCTCCCTGCACTGGCTACCCATTCACCTTCGGATCCATTTCAAAATTCTCATGTATGTTTTTAAATCACTGAACAGTTCCGCCCCATCCTATCTCACTGATCTTCTGCAGCCATATGTCCCACCGCGCTCTCTGAGGTCAGCAGACCAGATGCTTCTCTCAGTCCCAGAAACCCGTCGTAAGCTCAGAGGTGACAGGGCTTTCTCTGTTGCAGGTCCACGACTGTGGAATGAGTTGCCACTGAGTGTCCGGCAGGCTCCCACACTCTCAGTCTTTAAGTCTCGCTTGAAGACCCACTTCTATTCTCTTGCCTTTAACACGGTGTGATTTGTTTTGGTCCGGTCTGTTCTCTACTCTGTTGGCCATTTTAGTTAGCTTCTGCTGCTATTTGTATCTGTATTTCTATTTTATGTTTTCCTGTCTGCTGTGCATGTTTGGTTCTTTTGTACAGCACTTTGGTTGGCCTTGTTGCTGTTTTAAGTGCTATATAAATAAATTGGTATGGTATTGTAGAGACTGTTAGACCTTAGCCTCCATTAAGGCTGAAAGTTCCAGTCAGAACTCCAGTAAGAACTTCCAGTAAGACTTAATAGTTCCAAGAAGTGTTGACTTTTAAAGGGTATCCACTTCCTGTTACTTGGTACTTCCTGATTGGTTAACACAACCAGCAAGGGTGGAGTTTTAGTGATGTCAGAGGGTTATTAGAAGTCACAGACAGCAGAAATGTTTTTAAGAACGGTTAGTACAGACAGGAAAATATTTTGAAGAAGTGACAGACTTGCAGGCGCGCCAGTTTCTTATTTACTGTCTGAGAGTTTTAAAACAAGGCACTTCGTTCTCATAACTTGTTCTCTGACTTTTGACCGACATCAAATCCACTCTTAATTCAGACAGAAGAGTAAAATGCACAATTACTTTCTAAATAGACATTTAACTTGTATGATCTAAGTCTAATGAGGTTTAAAAATCATTAATACTGTTTCACAGTTGATTTAAATGAGTAGTTTACTTCAACATTAGAAATGGTATGAACTGAACACACTTTTGATTATCAAGATATTGTAAAATAGTAATGATAATACAAAAAAAAGGAAGAGTGTTCTTTCAACTGATTAATTCAGGATACAAATAGTCTCTTGATGAGATAATTTGTGTTCTGGATTCAAATCAATGAAATAACAGTTCCTGTCCCCTGAAGGTCTTCAGAGACAGATTGATGGAGGAGGTCTAGTTCACTACATCAGTCTTCTCCTTGTTCGAGATGAAAGTTTAGAGGGACGGCCAGGTCTTGGTAGATTTGCAGTGGTCTGACTCTCCTTCCATTTCAATATGATTGCTTGCACAGTGCTCCTTGGGATGTTTAAAGCTTGGGAAATCTTTTTGTATCCAAATCCGGCTTTAAACTTCTCCACAACAGTATCTTGAACCTGCCTGGTGTGTTCCTTGGTCTTCATAATGCTCTCTGCACTTTGAACAGAACCCTAAGACTATCACAGAGCAGTTGCATTTATACGGAGACTTGATTACACACAGGTGGATTCTATTTATCATCATCAGTCATTTGGGACAACATTGGATCATTCATAGATCCTCACTGAACTTCTGGAGTGAGTTTGCTGCACTAAAAGTAAAGGGTCCGAATAATATTGCACGCCCCACTTTTCAGTTTTTTATTTGTTAAAAAAGTTCGACACATCCAATAAATTTCATTCCACTTCACGATTGTGTCCCACTTGTTGTTGATTCTTCACAAAAAAATTAAAATTTTATATCTTTATGTTTGAAGCCTGAAATGTGGCAAAAGGTTGAAAAGTTCAAGGGGGACGAATACTTTCGCAAGGCACTGTATATTTAGAACACTCATTTTGTTTTTTATATTTTGGGGAGGGAGTGGTATAAAGTTAGATTTTAGATACAGAAGTCTTGGGGAGGTTGGGGTGTGACGTGGGAAAAGGTGGTGGGGACGATAGTGTATCGGTTCTGGTATCTCCCCCGGCTGCAGTGAATTGGTCACGTGTGAACCCAAGTTTAATACATATGTTTTTAATAGTTTATTATTATTGTTAAATAATTTATTATTACCTTCATGAAGGTGTGGGCGGTTCTGTTAGGGTAGCGGGGTGTCCTCCTTGGAAACAGTCCAGGAAGCACTGATTGGTGCGCTCACCATCAGTCTGTCTCTAAGCTGAGAACACTGCAATCACCTGCCATGTATCAGACAGCACAACCCATCCTGCTCTGCTCTGATTGGGTCAAACTGTGGTCCTGGTTCTCTTTATTTATTGAAAGCAGCATTAGTTTAAGCCCTGTATCATCATTCTGATTGGATAGCTTTAAAAAGCCCACAACAAAACACACGTGTTTTTCACTATTCCATTTATACAGACGTTCAAAATTATGGAAATCTGTTGTGTTAACGGAGAACTTTAATCCATGTCTGTTTCACTTGGTTGTCCACTAAACAACCTTGAGGCGAGAACTGGTTGTCTGAGATGAAAATTAGGGATGGGGGCCGATCCGATCCAGTATCGGTATCGGCCTCCGATACCAGCATAATTTACGTATCGGATTTTCCGATCCATCTGCCGATATTTCTGATCCATGATGCAAGTTGGCTTCAAACTACGCAATGGATTTCCTGAATGGAGGCGTGTCTCATGAACTCAGAGTAATAAGACCCGCCTCACATTCAGGAAATCCATTTCATAGTTTGCAGCCAGCTACAATGTGAGGACTGAGTTAGCAGCACTGTGGCTAACAGCTAACCAACTTTTCATCTAAACATGTCCGCTGTGTGGAAGTATTTTACACTAGAAACACCACAAAACAAAACAGCATCGTGAAATGTCTGCAGAGCCATAGCGCCACATTAAACCGCTGTAAAGTTAGTTTTACGATGGACATTCGAGCTCCGTGGCTTCAGCGGGGCGCTGCTCTTTGCTCAACCCAAAACAGGCAGCTCGACCCCAGGCAGCCGCGTCCAATCTGTCCCGCTCAGTCTGCCCGTCTCTGAGGAGGGACAGACTGAGCGCGGCTGACCCAAATCAGGCTGCCTGCTTCGGACTGAACAAGAAGAAGACATCGCTGAAACCACGGAGCTCAAGTGTTTACAGAGAAGTTGCTAAACTTCATCATAATTAATGACCAACCACTGTCAGTTGTAGAAAATGAAGGATTTCTCAGCTTGATATTTGCAGCCAAGATATAGTTTACCATCCAGAGATGTTTATCAGTACAACAGTAGGCAATAAAAAAAAACATATGATTTAAAAATTATATTAAAAAAAAAATTATATATATTAAAAACAAAAACAGCTACATTATAAAGTGATGTAAAATACTAAAAACAGGAACATGTCTGTTGGTTTATGCCATGAACTTAGCAGGTGTTTGAAGACATTTAACATTTTATTTTATTTTATTTTATTCATTTATTCATTCATTTAAAGGAAACAATAAAAAAAAAAAATCAAAAAGAAAACATTGAATGAAAAGAGTGCAGAAAGAAGAAAAAAATTCTTAGCTCTGCCCCTTATTTAAAAAAATATAAAATAACTTTAAACAATCACTTAAATTAATCACTTTAATATCCACTTTAAATCTAGGAATTAAAAAAAAACATGTTTGTGTTAGCATAATTTAATTCTAACTTTAAAACTTATCCAACATTAATACAACTTACTCAAGTTGCCTTTTTGGACATGCATGTATGTATTTGTACAAACTGTACTTGAGAGGAGATTATTACAGCCTCATATAAAATCAATGATGATCATGATATCGGAACTGGATCGGTATCGGACGATACTCAGACTTAGGTATCGGGATTGGATCGGAAGTAAAAAAAAGTGGATTGGTGCATCCCTAATGAAAATAGGTTGTCTGGGACAAACAGAAACCACTTATATCGACCCCTGACATGTGCAGCAGCCTTTTTATTAGGTACACCTTGCTTGTATTGGGTTCGACCCCATCTTGCCTTCAGAACAGCTCTGATTCTTCATGTCAAATACTTAACAAGTTGTTGGAAACATTCCTCAGAGTTGTTTGTCCACGATGACTTGATAGCATCATGTTGTTGCTTGAGCTGAGCTGCAGGTCCACAACACGAGTCTCCCATTCTCATCAAAGCAGGCCATTTTTCTTCCATTCTCCTTCGGTCTAATTTTGGTGAATCTGTGTGAAATGTAGCTTCAGTTTCCAGCTCTTAGCTGACAGGAGTGGCACCTGGTACTGATGTAGCCCATCTGCTTCAAGGTTGAACTCGTTGTGTGTTTAGATATGGTTTCTGCAGGTCTTTATTTGTAATGAGTGGTTATTTGAGTTACTGCATCCATTCTGTTATATCCAACCAGTCTACCCATTCTCATCTAATCTCTGTTAGCAAGGCTTTTTTTTCTCACAATTGTCCCTCTCTACATATTTTCTTTTATTTGGACCTTTTTTTTAAACCCTAAAGATGGTTATGTGAAAAATTTCCAGCAGCTCAGCAGTTCCTAAAACAGACCAGTTTGTCTGGCAGCAAAAGCCACACCGCACTTAAGCACCCTTTTTTCCCAAGCCTGACGCCCAGTTCAACCTTCAGCAGGTCATTGTCACCACATCCACATGCTGCCCTATGAATGGATAATTATATGATTGTGTTAACAAGCAACTGAACAAGTAGACCACATAAAGTGGCCTTGAGAGTGTTAAAGCTTCTATATCAAGCTTTTAAAGCAGAACAATACCAACAGATGTCGCTGGGGAGGGGCGGCGTCATTTATATGTGTCCAGTTGTTTATGAGATATTTTATAAACATACTAACAAACTGACTGATAAAAAGAGGCAAAGTTTTAAAACAGATGAGTCTTTCGTACATGTGGGGAAAACAGCAGAATATTGATTGATCAGAAAGCTCTATCACCTGTGAACTGTGAACAGCAGAAAATAAACAGTCCTGTTCCATGTTAAAGTTGTCCAAACATCCAGCACCCAGAGGACAGTTCAAATCACAGATACCTTTTTTGTGTGCACAGACGTCATGTGCATAACTAATGAATACAAGAGCTTGATTTTTCTTTAGCCCCCTCAGTAATTATGATCAGTCCCAATACTCATTTAGACATTTGTGTATGAAAGCTAAATGCAACTCATAAAACCAGCTGCTGTCAGTGTAAAGTAACAAACACACAGACAAGTTTCCTGATGCATGCTCAATAATCCAGGTAAGAAAAGTTGTGTATCAATGAGTGATGATAAAACAGCTGATCCTGCCTACATTTAAAGTGGTTCTGGTTTCTATGGAAAAGAAGTGGGAAAGCTGAGGAGCATCGTACTGTACCAGTATCCACAACCAGGTGTAGACTTCATCAGATTTATTCCAAAGCTTTGGAGAACAGCCAGCAATCACAGAAGATCAATGTGTTTACAAGCACACACTTATCAATGCCTTCACCTGTCTGAGGTTCTGACCCGTTCTGACTTCCTGAACTGAAAAAGTTAGTTTTGCAGAAACTCCCTCTTGCCCCTCTTCGCCCTGTCGAGCTGTTATCATCACCCAGTTGCAGACATAAGTGATGAGGTGTGGAAAGACAAACAGCTCACAAGGACTCACTCAACCACGTCACTGTAATGTAATCATCAATCAAACCTTGAGGCTAATAAAAATGATCTCTTGCTGTCCATTTACTGACCGCTCACATGAAGACTGATTATTACATAGAGTAAGGATCATGGAACATTTTAATATATTTCACAATAACAGTAAAAGAGCATAAATACATTTATCAACTAAAATATGGAGCATGATGAGTGCAAAACTTACATGTTCCCTTGACACCAGGTAAAGAGACAACTGTCAAATTTTTTTCTGTTCTTCATTAGGTATGATGGCTTCCCGGTGTTGAGTCTTGACTTGTTTGACCCTGTGGAGGGCCTGCGGACGCCATCCTCTCGCCTCGCTGCCAGGCAAAGCTGTCCCACCAGCCCCGCCCCCATGTTTAGACGCACCAAACAGGTGAGAGCAGCTGTAACCAAATTCTGTCTCGTACTGACCTGTAATCAGCAAAATATCAAAAACAAAAGGTCCAACCAAAGTGTTGGTATCATTTACAGAATGATTACATTTAAACCATCCATCCATCCATTATCTTTACCCGCTTCTTCATTTTTGGATCACCCGTGCCCATGTCCAGCAATCACTGTGCGAGAGGCAGGGGACACCCTGGACAAGTCACAAGTCCATCACAGGGACACATAGAGACAAACAACCATTCACTCTCTCACTCACACCTAGAGACAATTTAGAGTTACCAATCAGCCTAACATGCATGTTTTTGGTTTGTGGGAGGAAACTGGAGTACCTGGAGAAAACCCACGCATGCACGGAGAGAACATGCAAACTCCACCCAGAAAGGCCTCCGGACCAGGATTTGAACCGGGAACCTGCTCACTGAGAGGCAGCAGCTCTACCAGTTGTGCCACCGTGCTGCCCTACATTTAAAAACCGAATTTAGAAATTTAAAAGAAAATTGAAAAAATGTGGACACTGAGTTTGTTTGTTTTTCCAAATATTCTAAACTTCTTTAAATAAAACACATTTTAAAGCATAAGTTTAACTTCTGAATAAAACTTTTTCTAAAAAGAGGGGTATTTTTCAGTGAAGGTGATGAGAAAGGCACTTGCCTTGATGATGATGATGATATCTCACTCTCTATATTATCTCTATCAAATGTCACATATTTTCAATTTTACCTCTTCATTAATTGCACATTGTCTACGTTTAATCCAAAGGAAATTAAATCAGCCCAGAAGATAGCTAAGAAGTACTCGTCTGTCCCTCAGCTATGGTCCAAGTGCCTGCTCCGTCACTGCTATGGCCTGTGGTTCATCTGCCTGCCAGCGTACGTGAAGGTGTGTCACTCCAAAGTACGGGCACTTCGCACCGCCTATGACGTCCTCAGGAAGATGCAGGCAAAGAAGTTGCAACCCCCTGATGAGGTACATTATTTGTTTCAGACAGAGGAATAGTTTTGATATTTAAGCTTTATTTATTCTGACAATATTCAGTGGCTGCTATGTTCCTGCTTAAATTATCACACATCAATACACAGGTCTGTTATCGGGTCCTGATGCAGCTCTGTGGGCAGTACGGCCAACCTGTCCTGGCTGTCAGGGTCCTGTTTGAGATGAAGAAGGCTGGAGTTCATCCAAATGCAATCACCTATGGCTACTACAATAAGGTATCTGTATCATAAATTATCTTACAGTATTGATGACCAAACATTGACTTTACATTTACAGTATGTAGATAATGTTAAAAAAAAAAATTGCAGCTTACTATAACGAGTGTAGAGTTTTCTACAGGAGTTAATAACAATATATAAGATACAGGAAAAGTTTTGTTTTGTTTTGCATTCACCATAAATATGCTGCAAACTAATACATGAACACAACTATGGATGGCAGCCAGTCTAGTTAACACATTTCTGAAAGGAGTTTTAGTGGAATACTGTGAAAAAACTTGTAAGCAAATGCGTTAAAGAAAAAGTTCTGGTATTATTTATCCAACGACTACGAACCAGACTTGACTCTTCTTGAGAGATGGCAAAATGATGGCTTGAGAGCACATGTTGTAACTGCACTGACGACGTGACATGTGGGAGGAGATATAAGAAGGTAGAAGACCAAGGAGGGATTTATAGATGAAGATGAACCAGAGTGAGAGCCTACGTGTAGATAATAATGACCAACTGACCAAGAAGAACAGAGTGCAGTGATGAATATGATAGTTACAACCAGTTATGAATGTTAGAGTGCCATAGTAGACAGCATCCAACATCTGCAAGCAGCTGGCAGGAGCATTCATGTAAATAATGTCACCATAGTCAACGGCCGGTAGGAAGGTAGTGGTTACAAGGCGTTTTTTTAGCATTTAGAATTAAGCTAGACCTATTTCTGTAAAAGAAATCCATTTTTAATTTCAGTTTCTTTATCAAGTTTTTGATAAGTGGTTTAAAAGAGAGATGTGCATCAACCAAAATTTCCAAGTACTATATTTGTAAGAATCTACAAACTCAAAAGAAACACCATGCATGGGTGAGATAGGAAGAAGAATTGTTGGCACCGACTTTCTGTTGGAAAACAACATCACTTTAGTTTTGTCAGCATTTAGCACCAGCTTGAGATGGCATACATCTGACTGAATTATGTCAACTGCAGACTGGATAAGCTGGAAAACCTTGGCAACTGTGTTAGCTCTTCAATAAACAAGTGTCATTGGCATAGAAATGCAAGGATGTGTCAGGAATGTTTTGACCTACATTATTTATATAAATTGTAAAAAGAGTGGGACCTAAAACTGAGCCTTGTGGCACACCATTAGTGACTGTTAGGTAGCTAGATGAAGTACCGTTATGTCGAACACATTGCCTCTGACCTGAGAAAGAGTTTGAGAACCAGCCAACAGTGTGATCTGAGAAGTCAATATCTGAGAGCTTGTGGCATAAGATGTCATGATCTACAGTATCAAAGGCTTTGGACAGGTCTAAGTAAAGAGCAGCACAGTAATACTTAGCATCCAAAGCTTCAGCAACATCATTAAAACCTTTAGCAAAGCAGTCATTGTGCTACATTGTTTCCTGAAGTCAGATTGGAGAGAAGAAGAAATATTAAAAAGAGTCCAAACACTTCTTGACTTGAGTATTTATCAGTTTTTCTAAAACCTTAGCTAAAATACAGAGTTTGGCTGATAATTAAGAGAGGAAGGAAGATACAGTGAAGAGCAGGAAGCTATCCAGAGGAAGAGGCTAGCCAAGATTAAATGGGACAGTGAGAGGACTGACAGTAGACAGGAATATAAGAAGATGCAATGTAGGGTACAGAGGGAGGTAGAAAAAGCAAAGCAGAAGGCATATGGGGAGATGTACAACAGGCTGGACACTGAGGTGGGACTGAAGGACTTTTATTAACAGGCGAGACAGAGGGATCAGACTGGAAAGGATGTGTAGCACGTTAGTCTTGTTAAAGATAGGAATAGTAATTGTTAAGAGGCCTGGGAGGCCCGGAAATGGAAATGTGAATAACGCTCCTACTTTTATAGGAGACCGTATTTATGTGACACAAACATCAGATTGAGATGTGGAAACATGGTGAGTCTTCATCTGATCACATTTTACTAGATTTTATTAGATTTCTAGGTTCTAGAATTGCGCCGTTCAAGGTGGCTGCATGTTGGAGCAGCTCTGTTACATTCATTCTGAGATTTTGCTTTTGGAAACTTTAATTTCTCTTTTTCTGGATGTAAACCACATTTTTTTGGATGATTGTTTCCTCTGGTATCGGATGCTGTTCAGCTGGAGGGATTTTTACTGAAACTTTTTTAGTTTGAGACATTTGTTATGATGCGGAACCATAGCAACAAGGCTGTTTTCTACAACCAACAGCGGCTGATTAACATCTCAAAAGCTCAAATAATATCTAAACTACAGCCCCAAATCTCAAATGAGTTGAAAAGGATGTTCTGTGGATGCATTCTCATCTATCTGCCAGCTGTGCTCGAGTGCCTGACCACTGAGATCCAGGAACTAGCAGGAAACACGGCTCATGACAGCAGAAGGACAGCATCTTCCCTCGGCACATACAGCTGGCTGTCCGCAGCGACGAGGATCTCGGCAGACTGCTGGGAGGAGTGACCATCGCACTGGGAGGAGTTCTACCCTGCATTTTGACGGTCCTACAGCCCGAGGGAACCGAGAGGCCAGCCGAGTCTGGGTGAATGGATCGGACGGCATCTGCAGCCAGTTTCTTAGGATCCACTGTGGGATGGACCTTTACAAGAGATCCTTCCTGTCTACAGCCATCAGTATCTATAACATATCTTAATGAAATTAAGATAACGCGTTACAACAACAAATAATTTCCCTTTGGGATTAATAAAGTATTTTTGAATTTGAATTTGAATTTACCAGCTAGGAAGTGATCATTGACCCACTGATAGAGACTGCACTCTATGAGAACAGGCGGCATCAGAGGGCAGACTTGGGTCAAGCTGCTCCTGCTGGTCACAGGACTGGATCGTACCAGGTGCTGACCCTACATCAAGATGGGCCCAGTTAGAGCTGGACAATAACTCGATATCGATATATCTCGCGATATACTTTTATTCAATAACGATGATATGAGTTTTAAGCACATTTTCAATATTTTGGTAGGATTACAGCATTTCACTGACGTATTTCTTTTTCTGTTCGGGTTGAAGCGGCCACTTCAGTTTCAACCCGGACAGAAAAAGGTGCGACACAACTACGTAAGTGTGTGGTGACGTAATGTTACACAGAGCTCAAGTCCAGATGGTGTTAGTGGTAGCAGGCTAAGCTAGGCTAATCTCCAATGCGCGTTAAGTTTTCGCTTCAAAAAGAGTGCCCATGATCGTCAGAATGTGACTGAACAAGCTTTCACAAGCGAAGAGAAAGCAGATGACATCACTGATAAGAGAGAAAAGACTAATTTGCTGGTTTGGAAGTGGTTCAGCTTTCTACCATACCATACCATACCACTTTATTTATAAAGCACTTAAAACAGCTACAAAGCCAACCAAAGTGCTGTACAGACAAAACAACAGGTAACACACAAAGCAAAATACAAAATGAGGTAAATCAGAATATAGACAAAAAATCGATGCAGATAATGACGACAAACCAGTGTGGAGCATACAGGATTCAAAACACAGATCATCTTGTGTTGAAAGCTACTGAATTTTTTAAACGGGACTTGAAAACTGAGAAGGAGGGGGCCTGTCTGACAAGCAGAGGTAACTCGTTCCAGAGTCTTGGTCCTGCTACAGAGAAGGTCCTATCACCTCTGCGCTTAAGACAAGTTCCTGGAACTGTGAGGAGCAACTGGTCTGCTGACCTCAGGGAGCGTGGTGGGACATACGGTTGTAGCAAATCAGAGAGATGGGGGGGGGGGGGGGGACACTGTTCAGTGATTTGTAGACATACATGAGTATTTTGAACTGTATTCGAAAGTGAACCGGTAACCAGTGCAGTGAGGCCAAAACTGGTGTAATGTGCTCTCTTTTGCCTGTACTGGTTAAAAATCGGGCTGCTGCATTCTGCACCAGTTGTAGTCGTGCAATGGAGGTCTGACTGATACCAAACAGGAGCGAATTGCAGTAATCAAGCCTAGATGTAATGAATGCATGTATTACTGTCTCCAGGTTATTTTTGGACAATATGGGCTTCAGTTTAGACAGCCGCCTCAGTTGGAAGAAGCATGATTTTACATGATTGTTAAGCTTCAGGGAAGAGTCCATTATCACTCCCAGATTAGTGACTCTTTGTTTTTCTGACAGGGTTAGAGCGGAAAGGTCAATGCAGTGGTTTGTGATTGTGTCGTTGGGAGGGAACAACATGACTTCAGACTTCTTTTCATTGAAACTTAAGAAGTTTAAAGCCATCCAGTCCCTGATGTCAGCCGGGCAGTTGAGCAGCGGTTGAATAGAGCATGTACCTTTGTGTCTTAGGGGGAAGTAAATTTGACAGTCATCGGCATAGAAGTGGAAGGGCATGTTGCGTTTCCGGAAAATAGCACCAAGCGGCAGCAGGTATAAAGAGAATAGGAGGGGACCCAGGATGGACCCCTGCGGAACCCCCCATTTAAGCTCTGCCTCTGCGGAACTAAAATCCTTGATGGAGACACAAAAGGATCTGTCAGTGAGGTAAGATCTGAACCAATTGAGGGCTGATCCTGTGACGCCCACCCACTGCTCCAACCTAGCAATGAGGATCTCATGGTCGATGGTGTCAAAGGCGGCTGTGAGGTCCAACAGGACAAGCAGCACATAATCACCGGTATCTGTGGATCTGAAGATGTCGTTAAAGATCTTCAGCAGGGCAGTTTCAGTGCTGTGGAGAGGTTTAAAGCCAGATTGGAAAAGCTCTAAGATGGCGTGATCCTCCAGGAAGCACTTCAACTGGGACTCGACTATTTTCTCCAGTACTTTAGAAACAAATGGGAGTTTGGAGACAGGCCGGTAGTTGGAAACGACTGAGGGGTCAAGGTTTGGTTTTTTCAGGAGAGGCTGGACAGCAGCATGTTTAAAGGTTTTTGGCACCACGCCAGTGGATAAACTGTTTACTATGGCAAGAATGGATGGACCTACGATCCGATAAACTGCAGGTTTCAGTCAGTGTGCTGCAAAATGTGACGGAGAGTTGTTCTAACTAGCAGTTGGAACATCTAACTTGTTCCACTTGACAGAAGATGATGAGAGTCACAAGATGAAGCACAATAAAAGTCTGAGCCAACGTGTCCCTGAAACACCCCCAGCGCTGCATTTTTTTTGTTTTTGTTTGTTTTTATCATTTATTCATTCATTTAAAATAAAACAAATTCATCAGAAAGAAAAAAAAAACATTGAATTGACAGGTTGCACAAAGAAGAACATTTTTTAAATCTGCCACTAATTTAAAAAATACAAAATAACTACAAACAAACAACAAACTTGACTTGAAGAATCTCCAAACTGAAAACAAAAAAACTTCAGGTATCCTTCACCTGGTCCTATACCTTCTCAACAACTTTAACCATCATCTTTTAAACATATAAATTGTTGTAGAAATTTTTATCGTCATCGTTCAGAATCAAATGCTAAATAAAATGGAAATAATATAAGTTATGTAATCTTTCTGTGTGGCCTGGTACCAATTGACCCACAGACCGGTACTGGTCCCCAGCCTGGGGGTTGGGGGCCACTGCCATACAGGGCATGTGCAGAGGTAGAACTAAAGGTCCCAGTGTGACACCCCATCCCACCCTGCACGCACACCTGTCTGCTGTTACAAACCTCCCAAAGGGGAGTAAGAGAAGCTCACTGGGACCTTGTTGCCTGCTTATCTGTGGGAAGGATCACTGACATGAGGGAGGGTTGTCTGGGTGTTCCTCTGGCTAATCTATCGACAAGTCGACGGCATCCTGACAGCTTTCCACTGAGGCAGAGTGCAGTAGTCCCTCGTTTATCACGGGGAATCCATATTCTGAAGCTCCGCAATAAGATAAAATGCAAAGTAGGGATAGTAGTACAAGTAGTAAGTAGTAGTTTATTTTAGTATTTATACATATTAAGGCATTTTAAACCCTTCCCACACTATTGCAATATTCTAAACTCTAAAAGTGCATTCACACTAGCCCTGTTTAGTCCGCTTTAATCGAACTCTAGCTCGTTTTCCTAGAAAGTCCGGTTCGTTTAGGGAGGTGTGAACGCGCCATCGAACTCTGTCACGGAACAAAAAGGCAAACTCTGGCCCGGGCTAAAACCTAGGTCTCGGTCTGGTAGAAGAGAACTCCAGTGCGGTTCGAGTACAGTGTGAATGTAAACAGACCGGACCCCGCTCTGCAGGACAAACAAACACGCATTTCTCTGACCTTATATGGAGCCGTCAGCTGCCTTGTGTGAAAAACAATATTCTCCATGGTCTTCTGTCTCATCTTCTGCTCATGCTAAGTCCATTTTTGAAAAATGACAAAATATAACTCCTAAAACTGCTAAACCTTGATGCCACTTCGTTTTTATTTTTATTTCCAGAAGAAGAAGAAGACGTGTCTTCAGAGGTTTTTGTGTCGTTTCTTTCAGTAGTTCTTGGTGCAGCGCCCCCACAGGCGAGCGGGGGAATAGGTTGGTTCAACAGGTTGACTCGACTGCACAGTGCAGTGTGAATGCAAACTCACCAGCTCAAATGTAAACAAAAGCTCATGAATATTGGTCCCGAACCGAACCGAGTCTACCGGACTATCTAGTGTGAAAACGACCTCAATTTTCTAAAAGAGCACAGAATGTCATGGTTTTAGCTCTCTGCCTCCGCTGCTCTCAGCCACCTGCAAGCGTTCTTGGCCACGCCCACTCCTCCACTCTGCACCGAGAACAGCTGATCAGCTGCAGGAGGAAGCTTATCCTGTAGTGTGACCTGCACAAAGGTGCAGCAGGTGCTAAATGTTTTAAAATAATTTATTTTAAATAAAAATTCCATGCTGATTGTACAGCACATCCATCAATCAGCCAATTGTGTGTCATGTCTAATCTTATTTTGAAAAATCGTGATAGAGCAAGTCCACGAAAAACGAACTGCAAAGTAGCAAGGGACTACTGTACAGACAAAATCCTCTTCGTCCAGAGGGCCTGCGAGGATCGCACGCTGACTCTGCTCTGAGTCATATCGGTGGAAGCAGACCTCGGACCTCCCAATTGTGGCTGGATCAACCACAGGAGAAATTACTAGTTGAGTTTTGATCAACAGTCGACATTGGTCAAAGGGGTCTGAGCTCATGGCTTTCTAACAGTAATGTTGTACCAAGTGAGGAGAGTGTGATGGAAAGATAGGAGTACTTTGAGGAGCCAATGAATGAAAACTATGAAAGGGAAATAGGAGAAGAGCCCATATAAAGTAGACGAGGAAGTGGGAAATATTAGTTATGATCAAGTTCAGAAAGGTTTGACGATTGTAAAGAAGGCTAAGACACCTGATGACATACCAGTGTAGCTGTGGAAATGTCTAGGAGAGATGGCAGTGAGGTTATTGATTTGATTAATCAATGGCATTTTTGAGAATGAAAAAATGTCTGAGAAATGGAGAAACATTTTCAAACATAATCCAGACTCTTCAAGCTCAGGGATTTGTTCAGGAAATCTGAGGATTCTAAGTTGTAAAAGCTTCACTGAGCTTGTTTTTTTACACTCCAGCCATCTCACTGAAATGTTCTTTCTTCCTCTGCTCCATATCCAGGCAGTGTTGGAGAGCACATGGCCTTCCAGCACCAGAGGAGGATACTTTCTGTGGATGAAGCTGAGAAATGTAATTTTGGGTGTGGCACAGTTCAAACAGGCTCTACGACATCATAGACCCCTCACCCAGAGTCCCCTCTCAGGTAATGGATCAGTACCACAGCAGGACTGAAAGGTTTTTATGTTTACAAACACGTTTTTTTATATCTAAAAAATAAGATATCTTGATATCTTATAAGATTTTAACTTGGACGTTACTGTTTCAAATTTCAGTTTAAACTTCAAAACAATTGTAAATGCTGCACAGTGATGGAAAATGGCACAATCATATAACGCCCTCAGTGTAGCCACCCAATAAAGGACTTGTGTGCCAGGATATTAGTTTGATCCACACACAGTGGATGTTAAAGTAAATATACCACACTCCCTGTGAGTAAGCAGGCTGTGCAGTCAGTAAGATATTATTATTCTTTTTTTTTTTTTTTTTACAATTAATTAGAAAATTATAGTTCGGATAGAACCATTACACAAATAATGTGGCAAAAATATAAATAATTTAGCACTTTGTTGTGACTTTTTGGTTCTCCCGTTTGGTCTAGGGCAGGGGTCTGCAACCTTTACAATCAAAGAGCCATGTCTGCCCCTTCGTTCACTAAATTAAACTTGTCCAGAGCCATAAAACCTGCTACAATTGTCATTATCAACTAGTGGCCCATGGGCCACTTTAAGTTTGTTAGTGGGGCTTTTCTGGCCAGTAGGTGTGAAATTATACAACTAAAAACACCCAGTGATTGTTAACATTGATATTTTTACATTTTGAGACTTGTAAAGGAAAAAAATATATAGTATTTTGCCAATTTAAAAAAAAAACAATGAAATGTGCAGGCTTATGTGTTTTTTTTTAATTGTGGAGAAAGTGAGTATTCTACTTTGAAGAAATAAAGTTATAGGGAGTATAATTTATTCTGTGTATTAGTTCTAGTATCCACATATTTGCAAGGGAAATGACAGGAAAACTGCTAAAACTAGTCATTTTTTGTTGTGGGTATAACATCCAATGAAATTCAGTTTTATGTTAGTTTTGGTCAAAGCTTGAAAGAGACGCTGCGGAGGAACCAAAGAGCCGCAGGTTGCAGACCCCTGGTCTAAGATAATTGATCAGGAATGAAGTGGTAACAAAGGTTTAGGTGCTGTGGAGCAGAAATTGAGCCCTACTTGCTTTAACTCGTGTTGTTTTTGGGCAGAGGGCAGCGACCTGGACGCAGTGAGTCACAGCAGTATGGATAGTTCTGCCGACACTCACCCGGCCGAGCAGGGCCCCTTCGCCTCAGACGCCATCAAAGTAGACCCCACTGATGATATATCTAGCACAGGTACACTTCAAACGGTTTCTGCTTCTGGCAGCCATCTTGTTGTACATATTTGTCTTTTCTGTCACTGACATTGTTTAATCCTGACTGCTGATCACTGACCATCCTTGTTCCCCTCTTCCTTTGACATGTTTTCCTGTCTGGTATTCCATTTTTCTTTCATCTCTTGTTTTGAAACTATTACTCCCTCATCACTCTGGTTTCTGCTCTGCTCTGTAACCCTGCCCTTCACTTTGGCCCTGCCTGTGTTGCCCTTGCATGCAGTTGGCCGTGGTGGCGGCAGCGTGGGCGCCAGGCCCATGGTGGCCCAGTCACACTGGGTGGGCTCTGAGCTCAGAGAAGCCACTCCCTACCCAGGTAAACTTCTCAACCAGTCTGCCTCTTTTTTCACTCTGTCTGATCAAAACTGCCCTGCATCATTTTTTTTCTTCTGTCATTCTCAGACTCCTCTCATCTGTCACCCCTCTATAGTCAGCTGTTCACTCCTTCTCCTGTCCTTCATTCTTACTGTCACCCATTGGAATGTTTGGTCATTGTTAATTATGGAGTGTGTTGGAGTAATTATGGAGCAGAGAGGGTCATTGTTTTAGATTAACTGCATAATTTTCATTTTGGGGATAACGCCTGTACAGGCAGCTTGACCTTGTGTCCTGGACAGAGAGTTCATTTATAATTACAGTGCTAAAAAAGCTTTTTACTCACTTACCATCAGTTACAGTATTACAAGGAAGCTGTGCAGAGATGTCAGCGTGAGAGCTTCATGGAAAAAAAGAGGAATAAATCATCAGACAGCTGGTTGCCTGGAGACCCTGAGGAGACTTAAAGTCAGACGGAAGCGTCAGCCTTGAGTCTTAGCATCTGAATCAAACTGCAGCTGTGAAAATGTTTTATTTTCCCGCAAGGACAGAAGAACTTTGCGTGCCCTGAGGAGGGTTCCTTTATCCATCACAGCTCAGCTGCTTTCTTTGTTTCTCTGTTTCCTCCTTAACACAGTGGAAAATCACATTTCCCCCCTTATTTTTATATCAGCTGCTTCTTCTTCTGTCATCTTTTCCCTCTTCAGGGTTCTCCACAGCGAGTCATCCTCCTCCACCTCACCCTGTCCTCTGCATCCTCTGTCCTCACTCCAACTACCTTCATGTCCTCTCTAACTACATTCATATATCTCCTCTTTGACCTTCCTCTTTGTCTTTTTCCTGGCAGCTGCATTTCTAAATCTTTCTACCAATATACCTACTGTCCCTCCTCTGGACATGTCCAAACCACTGTCCCTCCTCTGGACATGTCCAAACCACCTCAGTCTGGCCTCTCTAACTTTATCTCCCAGTTGTTTAACCTGTTCTGTACCTCTGATGATCTCATTCCTAATTTTATCCTTCCTTGTCCCTCCTAAAGAGAACCTCAACATCTTTATTTCTGCCACTTTCAGTTCTTTTTCGTGTCTTTTTGTCCATGTCTCTGTCTCCAGACCCTATGACATAGATGGTCTCTCAACTGACCTTTGCTGACACCCTTTTGTTACAAATCACTCCTGAAACTTTTCTCCATCCACTCCATCCTGCCTGGACTCTCTTCTTCACCACTTTACCGCACTCTCCATTTTCCTGGACAGTGGACCCCAAGTACTGGAAGTCCTGCACCTTTGTGACCTCTGCTCCTTGTAGCCTCACTGTTCCACCAGCTCTCATTCACATACATGTCTTACTATGACTCACTTTCACTCCTCTTCTTTCAAGTGCATACCTCCACCTCTTCAAGTTCTCTTCCACCTGTTCCCTGTTCTCACCACAGATCACAATTTCATCTGCAAACATCATAGTCCATCAGGATTCCTGCCTGACCTCATCTGTTAGTTGGTCCATCACCAGAGCAAAAAACAAGGGGCTCAGAGCCCTGTTGTTAAAGTGTTTAACACTTTAGTCAAAGGAGCTTCCGGGTGACGTGGATGAAATGGACACGTGAAATATAGCGCTGGTTTGTCAGCCAGTGATAACCCCATAACTCGAGGATTTATCAATTTATCACTCAAAAAAATCAGTCTAACAACACCTCAAAGATGAGCCAGGAGAGACAAGCGAAGTCCGGGACAAAAGAAAAAAGAACTGATAAGAGCGCTAACTACGGTGCTGAGCGCCCTGGCCCGGAGGATAACTCTGAAGAGGCCAATTTGACAGCTACTGACAGCAACATTCGCTCTGTCATAACTGAAGTCATGGCTAAGGGGCTGTACGAATTAAAATCACAGATGAAGGAGAATCTCTCTGCTTTTCGGGAGACATTAAAAGACGACATGAAGACTCAATTAAATGAGTTAAGTTATAACACCAACCAGAAAATACAAGTTGCCACCGGAAAGACCGAGGAGGCTACACGGCGTCTGGTGGAGGTTGAGAAAAATATGGCCAGGGCAGAAAAGTGGGACACTCTGCTTGAGCTTTAACAACCAACAAATCCTGAAAAACAAACTGTCGGACCTAGAGAGTCGCTCCAGTCGGAATAATATCCGCATATACAGCGTCCCGGAGATTGAAACCCGGAGGGCAGCTCCGTATCACGGTTTGTGAAGAATTTAATAATATCTGAGCTAGGTGAAAACTTGGACATTCAACGGGGAGCAGACCTGAGAATCGCACGGGTGCACAGAGCACTAGGTCCCCGGCCACCAACCAGAGCACCAGCCCGCTCCATAGTAGTTAATTTTTTGAGATTTACTACAAAGGGCAAGATCCTCCAGGCGGCCTGGAAGAAACAGCTGTTTGTTCACAACAGATGTGTTTACTTTGATCATGATTACGCAGATGACGTGCAGCAGAAAAGAAAGGAATATATCCCGATAAAGAAAGTGCTTAAAGAAAACCATATCCACTTCCAGACACCACTGACAAAGATGAAAATACACTTTCCTACCGAGACTCTCACCTGCAGTAACGCCCATGAAGCAGCTGAGGAGATGGAGAAACACGGCTACCCGACGGGACCAGTACAATGAAAGAAACCCAGCGGACATAATGAGGAGACCCTGACAAAGTTGCTACCGTGGCGAGTAATAGGAGAAACATGCGAGGAGGCCATCAGACAGCGTTTGAAGGAATTCCAAAGAACCACCAGGGAGGACGCAGAGCATGAAGAATTGTGAAAACAGGTGCTTGTGACTGTTCCTTCATGCTTGTTGACTTGTGTGTAAGTATGGAGGTAACAGAAATAGAAATAACTGCATACATAAACAATCCATGGTAATGAGGACTGTTGTATGAATGTGTGTGTGTGTGTGTGCGTGCGTGCGTGCGTGCGTGCGTGCGTGCGTGCGTGCGTGCGTGCGTGTGTGTGTGTAAAAAAAAAAGAGGTTAGAAAAAATGATGAGGGGTTTTGATGGGGCTGTTTCAGTTCATTTCTTTCCACTGACCTACCTGTTTGGGTAATATATGCACATGTATATATAAATACCCAGTTTCTGTTTTGTTATCTACAGACTGTTGAAGAGGGGCCCCACCTTGTGGCTGAATCCCCTCACTGTTTTCAGAGGAGTTTGTTTATCCTCTCAAATGGAAGTCTGGCTTATTTTTAGTTTTAAGATCTCAGTTTATGTTTCTTTTTGTTATGGGCAGTCTTTTGTTGAGTTTTGTTTCTCTTTCATAACAGAGGGCACAGGATTACATGCAACAGGTGCAGAAAATAAACTCTCAGGAAAATACTTCAATACTATAAATTCTTGTTGTTGAACGTGAATGGTTTACACAGTCCCATAAAACGGAGTAAAATGATAGCAAAACTAAAAAGGGAGAAAACTGATATTGTCTTCTGGCAGGAAACACATCTGTCTCAT